CGGGCCACCGCAAGAGCGAATGTCCAGAGGAGCTAAGGCGCCGCGGAGCAGAGTAGGGGAGGGAGTCTCCAAAGCAGGGAAACGCCAGCAGTCAGTAGGAATCGGGCCAACTACTGACGAGACTGCCTGCTCGCCCAACCCCACCGACCCTCACCGAGTCACAGTACCGATTCATGCTATCGATCGGACTCGGACGAATAAGGAGGGTACAGCGACGGATTGCCCAGTACTGATCCACGGGAAAATACAGGGAGCAGCAGTGAAGATTTTTATCGACGGAGGAGCAAGCCACAGTTTAGTTAATACCGCAACCGCATGAAAACTACAGCTGACACTTAGCCGTTGCTTACCGGAGATAGACGCACGCTTAGTCGACGGCACACCACTAGCCATACGGGAAAAGGTAGAGAGAGTCAAAGTCCGCTGCAGGGGAAATTTCGGGTTTACACAGGAAATGCTCGCAACGACACTGGATGGGCACGATATTTTAATGGGACGTGATTGGCTGCGACGGTATAACCCGCGAATTGACTGGACGACGGGTAGCTGCACCGTGCGAAGTAGTGGTAACTGGGTCGAGCTACCTCGCTGGCGGTCGCCCGAGTCTTCAACGGTACACGTCAACGCCGTCACAATGAAACGGGCTGTCGCTGCTGGAGCTGACGTGTACGCAGTAGACATCGCAGTAGTAGAGGAAGCGGAGCAGCCGAGTGATTTCAAGAAACTGCTGGCAGCCGTACCGCCCGAATTACAGGAACTGTTGAAACGATACCCCGGGATTTTTCCCGACGACTTACCGGAAGGATTGCCACCTCAGCGAGCACATGACCACCGAATCGAATTAGAACCGGGGGCACAGCCAACCGTACAGCGCCAGTTCAGACTGACACAGCCCGAGCTCGATGAACTAAGGAAGCAGTTAGATTACCTGTTACAGAAAAAATTCATCAGACCGAGCTCGTCACCGTTCGCCGCACCGATACTATTTACGCCGAAAAAAGACGGGGGTTTTCGCATGTGTATCGACTACAGAGCACTGAACAGGGTAACAGTCAAGTCGCGGTACCCCATTCCCCGCACCGACGAACTGATCGACCAACTGCGAACAGCACGGGTTTTTTCGAAAATCGATTTACGGGGAGGTTACCATCAGATTAGGATCGAACCATCGGACTGCGCCAAAACAGCTTTCATGACTAGATACGGGTCGTTCGAGTACACTGTGATGCCACTCGGGCTGACCAACGCACCGGCGACTTTTCAGATGACCATGAACGAGGCATTTAGGCCGCTCTTAGATAAATGCGTAATAGTTTACCTCGACGACATTCTAGTGTACAGTCGGGACAAGCAGCAGCACTTAGCAGATCTGGAAGCAGTGTTTAAGGTTTTAGACGAGCACAGATTACTGACCAAGGGTTCCAAGTGCGAATTCTTCCAGGATAGGTTAGAATTTTTGGGGCACGTTATTTCGGAGGTTGGAGTTGAAATCGACCCAAAGAAGCTGGATACGGTAAAAGCGTGGCATCCCCCGACGAACATCACGGAGCTGCAGAGTTTTTTAGGGTTCGTTAATTATGTGCGTCGGTTCGTCCCCGATATGGCACGGTTAACTGCCCCACTGACGGATTTACTGCGAAAGGGGGTCGCTTTTACGTGGGGGGAGAAAGAGCATGCTGCCTTCTCTGCCCTGAAAAATGTTCTCTGTTCACCACCCGTCCTGCGCATCGCCGACCCACACCGCCCATTCGAAGTAGTTACCGACGCAAGCGATATCGCCATCGGAGCCGTACTGCTACAGGATTTCGGCAATGGCCTACAGCCTATCGCATACGAGTCACGAAAACTGCATCCGCCCGAAAAAAATTACCCGATACACGACCGCGAAATGCTTGCGATCGTGCACGCGTTCAAAGTATGGCGCTGTTACTTGACTGGCGCGGACGTGACAGTACGGACAGACCATAAATCACTACAGTACTTTCGCGCACAGCCACACCTCAACCCACGACAGATTCGCTGGCTCGATTTCCTTGAGTCCAATTTTCACTACACGGTCACTTACAAAAAGGGAGCCTCGAACATCGCCGACGCACTGACCCGCCCCATTGCCCAGATCCACGCAATACTACTCGCCCAGACAAGCCCGCTACTGACAGGCCTATTCACCCACGGGTACCAAACGGATCCATTCTTCACAGGAGGAAATTCGCAGCAGTTCGCAGCAGCAAAGGGAGTCTATTACGTAAAACCCGGGACTGACCGCATCTGGGTGCCTGGGTATACACTGCTTCGGGAATTACTGTTACAGGAGGCACACGACGGAGTTACCTCGGGGCATTTCGGAGTAGAAAAAACACGGCAGCAGTTGCAGCGGTATTATTACTGGCCCGAAATGTTGACCGACGTATAACGACACGTGGCATCGTGTCCCACTTGTCAGCTCATGAAATCATCACGACAGCGGCCGGCGGGACAGTTGCAGCCGATACCACCCCCAGAGCGTGCTTGGCAGCAGGTGACGATGGACTTCGTCACGGGGTTACCAGCCGGGGCGAGTGGGAACGACGCGATCCTGGTCGTCGTCGATCGACTGACGAAAATGGCACATTTCGCAGCCTGCAAAAAATCAATCACAACCCAAGAAACAGCACGCCTCTTCATCTCCACCGTCGTTCGACTGCACGGGATACCAACCGCGATCATCAGCGACCGCGATACGAAATTCACCAGCAACTTCTGGTGGAACCTGTGGCAGCAGTTCGGCACGCGACTACAGTTCAGTTCATCATACCACCCCGAAACCGACGGACAGACAGAACGGACAAATCAGACCATGGAACAGCTCATCAGGGCCACGTGTGACGACCCGACCACGTGGGAACAGCAACTGCCACTAATCGAATTCGCGTACAACAACTCGCCATCCGCCACGACCCAACAGTCACCATTTTACCTAAACTACGGACAAGACCCGACACTACCCATGACCCCGAATCCCGACAACCCAGTATCACGAGCACAACAGTTCGCCGAAATATTACAAGCAGCACGGACCCGGGCAGTAGACGCAATAAAAAAATCGAACATCATCGCTAAACGCAACGCCGACCGCCACCGCAGACCTGTCACTTACCAGCCCGACGACTTAGTTTTACTTGACACTCAGAACCTCCGACTGCCCATCACCCCGAAACTCCGCCCCCGATACTGCGGGCCATTTCGCATAAGCCACATGCTTACACCCGTCACCGCCCACCTCCTCCTCCCTGCTGACTGGTACGTCAGCCCCTCATTCCACGTCAGCCTACTTCGCCCTTACGTCCCGTCCACAAGCCAACTGCCACGCAATCGCCCAGCCAGCATGACAAGACCACCAACTGAACCAATCATCGCCCCCGAGAAAATCCTGAGTCACAGAGTTCGCGACCCTCGAGGAGCCCGAAGGATCGAGTTCTTACTCCGCTGGAAAGACCGTACACCCACCGAAGACAATTGGGTTCCCCTGGACAGAATCGAAAATCACCCCGTCCTCACCGAGTATCTGCGCAGCCGCAATTTCAGGGATGTACACGCACTTTCGTAAGGAGGACCTCCTTAGGAGGGGGGGTAGTGTAAGGAAAATTCCTTTTCCTTACTTCGCATCCCTGCTCAACGCGTACATCACTGTAGCACCACAGTCAGCACCGTTACCACTCGCGACCCTCGCACCGACAATCCGCCCGCCACCTTCGCACATCGCACCCCGACCTCACGGCTCGGCGGGTAACCCGCGCTCCGGGCCTCCGCTTCGACACTTTTTCCCAACCACAGTCCCAGGCCCGTCGCGCGACAACCACAGTCCATTACCGTTACCACTGTAGTTTCGCTATATATTCTTCGCTCATGCCTTCGCTCATTGTACTCTTGCTTCGATAGTGCAATTCTCGTTCGTTCACTCGATTGCACTCGTAACAAAGGGACGGCATAAACCTGAGAATATATGTGATAGTTGATCGTTTTTGCCAAGTACACTTCTAGAATCATTGGCACTCTGTGTAAACTCAACCCGAAGTTCCAGCCACTCGCCCCACCTACACCACTCAACAATAGAATGTTTCTATGTATAGAACGGTTCAGACTATCACACTGCACTTGTTTTTGTTGTTTTATCTTGCATGGTGGTGCTTGTTGCTCCACTGGCACCAGCTTTAGCACCGCCAGCACTGGCACCACCAGCCACATCAGCAATCAAGCCTGCAGTACCAGCAGCAGCACCTGCTGAGGTGGTAACCGGAGCAGAGGTAACCTTGGCAGACGTAACCGGTGCGGATGTAACCTTTGCAGATGTAACTGGTGTGGATGTAACTAGTGCAGTGGTAACCTGTGTAGGGCTGACGGGCCTGGCACCTGAAGCAGCAGCAGTTGCAGGTTTAGCAGATGCAGCACCAGTAGCAGCAGCAGCAGCAGCAGCAGCAGCAGCACTAGTCGCACCAGCAGCAGCATGGGCAGGAACAGCACTGGCCGTCCCACCAGAAGCGGCAGCAGCTCCGCCAGTACTCCCAGCAACAGCACTACCTGCTGCAACAGCTGCTGGTTTGGCTGGGCTTGCAACAGCAGCAGCCCCACCAGCAGCAGCACCACCAGTAGCTGGAGGAGTCTTTGGCTTAGCTGCCGGTTGAGTGTCTGACAAAGGCTTGGCCTGACTTGTGCCCGCTGCCCCTGCTGTTGTTACTGCTCCTGCTGCTGCTCCTCCTGCTGCTGCTCCTCCTGCTCCTGCTGCGCCTCCTGCTGCTGCTGATGATGGAAGAACATACGTTGCAGGCTTGGGGGCTGTTGGCGCAGGTTTGGCAGCTACCTTGGCCGAGGCTGCTGGGCTGGCTGTCACCGAGCCTGCGACTGCACCCGAGCCTGCGGCAGCCGAGCCTCCAGCTGCCGAACCTGGCTTTCCTTGCATGAGCTTAGCCAAAGCCTGGCTGTCAGCTTCGGAGATAGTTGAAGTGGTGGGGGTAGGCGTGCGGATGGGAGTAGATGTAATAATTGGAGTAGCCTTGGCTGTTGGGGAAGATGTGCCGGTGTTGGGGATAGATGTGGCACCGACAGGAGTAGATGCGCCAATAGCAGCAGGCAGGGCAACAGGTGTTGCTGGTGTGTTGGCAGCTGCTGTAGCAGTGCGTGGGGGGACTGTGGTTGCTACAGCCGCTGAGAGTGGAGTAAGGCGAGGAGTGAGGAGGGCTGGCTGTGTTACAGCTGGTGCTGCAGGAGTGGCAGGTAATGGCTGTGATACAGCTGCTGCTCCAGGAGTGGTAGACACCAGCTTTGCTACAGCTGTTTCTGCAGCAGGAGTGGCAGGCAATGGCTGTGATACAGCTGCAGGAGTGACAGGTACCAGCTTTGCTACAGCTGCTCCTGCAGCAGAAGTGGCAGGCAGTGCTACAGCTGCTGCTACAGGAGTGGCAGGCACAGGTTTCGCTACAGATGTTGCAGGAGCGACAGGTACCAGCTTTGCTACAGCCGCTGCCGCTGCAGGGGTGGCAGGCACTGACTGTGCTACAACTGCTGCTGCAGGACTGGCAGGCAGCGTCTTTGTTACAGCTGCTAATAGGGACGGGGATGATACTGCAGGGCGTGGTGTTGCTGATGGTGTTGCTGTTGTTCCTGCTACAGGCTTCACTGTTGCTGCTGACGTGGCAGGTGATGCAGGTGATGCAGGTGGTGACGTGGCAGATGTGCCACCCGTCCCACGAAGCATGGTGCCACCTGCACCTACTCCTCTCCCTTCAACTACTCTCCCTTCACCTCCACCTGCTGCCGCCCCTGCTATCACTCCGGTGCCTCCTTTGCCTCCTGCTGCTGCTCCCAGAGCAACTCCACCTGATAATGCCCCTGCAGTCACTCCTGATGTACGTCCTGTGGTGGCTTTGGCTGCTGTTCCCATAACAACTGCACCTGCTGCTGTCCCTGCTAATGTTCCTGTTCTGCTACCTGCGGTGACCATAGGGCTAGGAGAGAGAATGCTTTTGCTGCTGGTAACCGGAGCAGAGGTAGTCGTAACAGTGGCAGGAGTGACAATAACAGGAGTGGCATAAAGGAGAGAGGAGGCTGGCTTGGTCAGCAGATTCGGTTGCTGCGATTGTGCTTGGAGTGAAGTGGATGCTGCTGATGTGGATGTGGGCAGACCTGAGGTGGATGTAGGCAGAGATGACGAGGATTTATCCACTGCCACGTCATCAGAGGAAGGCACATCCCTCAGTAGATTCTCAGCCTCGTCAAGCCCAAGAATAGGGTCTGAATTTAAACCTGAACCTGAACCTGAACCTGAACCTGAACCTGCACCTGAACCTGCAGTTGAACCAGAAAATGACTTTGGCTCAAGGTGCTGCTGTTGCAGTGTTTGCTTCTGCTGCTGAAGTGCCTGCTGCTGCGGCATCTGCCCTTGCTGCATCTGCCCCTGCTGCATCTGCCCTTGCTGCATCTGCCCCTGCTGCATCTGCCCTTGCTGCATTTGCAAATTTGTCTGCTGCGGCAATCTAGTCCCTTGTGCTCGGCCAAGCACCTGAGATCCCACTGTCTCTCGTGCTTCCTGCACTCCTGGCAGCTGCATTGGCTGCTGATGCATTTGCTGTTGCTGCTGACCTGCCCCTTCCCGCCTGCCACCATCTGCCACAGCCGAGCCCCATTCTGATCCCTCTTTCCTGATTACTCCTCCCTCACTGCCACCCAGCTTTTGAGGCGCCTCAAAAGTCGTCTCCCCCCTGCCACCATCTGACACTGCCACAGCCGAGCCCCATTCTGATCCCTCCTTCCTTATTACACCTCCCTCACTGCCACCCAAACCGCTGCCACCGCTGCTGCTGCTCCGGCTGATGCTGCCACTGCTGATGCTGCTGCTGCCGCTGCTGATGCCATCGCCGCTGCTCCTGAGGCTGCCAGTGCTGCTGCTGCGGCTGCCGTCACTACCCTGGCCAGCAGCAGCCGTCCCTCTCCTCTTCCTCCTCCTATGCACTCTCTTAGCCGCCCTCATCTCACCCTCCATTCCCCCATCCAAATCACCCTCCCCTCCCATCCCCACACCTGCCTCCCCATCCCCGTCACCCTCCCCATCTCCATCCCCATCCCCATCCCCATCCCCCTCCGTGCTTCCACCCTCCTCTCCCTCTCCCTCAGCTACCCCTGCTCTCTCTCGCTCGCTCTCCCCATCCCCCTCTTTCTCCTCCTGCTCCTCCTTTTCCTCACCCTCCTCCTCCCCTCCCACGCCCTTCCCTTCTCCGCCTCCCACTCCCCCCTCGTCCTCCCCCTCTGCATCATCTTCCACAGCTTCTGGTCCCTGCACGCCCCCCTCTCCCACCTCACCACTAAACTCACCCCTATCAACAGCAGCACCAGCAGCAGCACCAGAAACAGCAGCACCACCACCAGTAGCAGATCCCCTGCCAGCACCAGCACCAGCACGAGAAGCGGAACCAGAGCCATAATCAGAACCAGAAATTCGAGTATCAATGCCCCCGTTGGCAGCAGCAGCATCAATGCCCCTGTCTACAGCAGCAGCCATAGTGCCACCACCACGCGCCCCAGCCTCTTCCTCCTCCCCTTCCACTCCCCCCAGCCCTCGCAGCACCTCGTCATCCTCCTCATGCTTCTTACCCTCTCCCTCTCCCTCTTTCGTCCCTGCGTTCCTCATTCCTGCATCCCCTCTTACATCCCCTATGCCTGCATTCCTCTCGCCCTGTGCTTGCGCCAGTGCACCATGTACTCCCCCTGCTGCGCCCTGTGCCTGCCCCAATGCACCCTGTGCCTGCCCGGCCACGCCCTGGCCTCCTTTGGAGTCAAAGTCCCCTGTAAGATCCGATACTTGCTCCCTCCCCCCTCCGTCTGCAACATCCATGGCTCTTCCTGCAATATCCAGTATCCTTCCCCCTTCCCCTTCCCCTCCCCCTTCCGCTCTCCCTCCCCCTACCCCTTCCCCTCCCCCTTCCGCTCTCCCTCCCCCTACCCCTTCCCCACTCTCCCCACCTTCCACTTCTCCCTCCCCTGCCCCTTCCCCTTCATCCTTAAAAGCCCCGGTCCGCACATGGTGACTCTCTGTCTCATGATCCACCTCCACCCCATCCTCTGCCTCCCCTCCTCTCCCTCTCTCACTCCCCCTCCCCCTCTCACCTTCCCAACCCCCCTCACTTTCACCCTCACCAGAAACACCTCCGCCCATCCCACCAGCCCTACCACCAGTATCACTGTACGGTAAACCCTGCGGGGTTGTATCGGGGACGACAACTCCTTGATTCACAATCTCTCGCTCTCTCAGCAGCTGCTGCTGCTGCAGATCCCCCCCCTCAGCTCCTCCCCTCTCTTCCTCCCCCGCCTCTTCTCCCTCCCTCTCGCCTCCTCCCGTCTCTTCTGCTTCCCCCCCGTTTCCTCTCCCTTCTCTCTCCTCCCTTAGCGCCTCCCCCTCCCCCTCTGGTATCTCCCCCTCCTCCTGTGCCATCTCAATATCTGACTGCCCCAACCTTCCCTCCTCCACCTTTCTTTCGCCTTCATCCCCTTCGGCATCCCTCCCCCTCCCTCTCAACTCGTCCTCCCTCCTCTCTCCTTGCCCCTGCCTTTCAAACTGCCCCTGTCTTTCCACCCTCCCCACTCTTTCCATCTGCCCCTCTCCCGCCACCTCCTGCTCGGTTGCCCCTTCTCCATCCAGCTCCTCATCTTCTGCTGTGGACCGTTTCCCCACGAGCCTAGCTGCTGCTTCCAATACCGGATCACCTCTTAGCGAATCCGCTGGGACAGTGTCATCAGGACCCCCAACGCCGGTAGAAGCTCCAATGCTTCTCAGACCACCACCACCACCACCACCATCAGAAACACCAGCACCAGCAGCATAAGCACCAGCGGCGCCAGCACCAGCAGCACCAACACCATCGCTCCTAGCGACTCCAATCCCGCCCTCTCTCACAACCACCCCTCCTACGCCTCCTCCCACCATCCCATCCTGCCCCATCCTGCCTGCAACCCTCCCCCTTCCACGAGGCCCCACCCGCCCACTAACCCTTATATCCCCGTCCTCAGTACCACCTTCCTCAGTCCCAGCCTCCCCAAATCCCGCCCTCTCCATCCCGCGTTCTCCTCTCCTCCCCACCTCCCTCTCCCTCATACCATCTCCCTGCGATTCCTGCTCTGTTCTCGGATCTAGCTGCTGCCCTGTTCCTCCTTCCCCTGCACTCAGCAGCCCAGGAGTCTTCTGTTGCACCATGCTTGCCCCAGCGCCAGCAGCATCTGCTCTCAGCACAGCAGCACCCTCCTCTTCCCTAGTTGCTAAGCCGTTGAGTAGGGATGTGTCTGGTGTGACTGGAGCGAAAGTTCCTATAGCAGAGGCAGAATCCCCACCATCACCATCAACAGCGCCACCACCGCCACCACCACCAACCCCACTGCTACTGCCACCGCTGCTACTGCCACCGCTGCTACCGCTGCTGCTGCTGCTGCTGGGATCGTTGATACTAACACCAAAATCGCTGCTGCTCTCACTGCTGTTTTCACTGCCGCTCACACTGCCACCGTCCCTCCTCACTCTTGACTGAGCTGAAAAACCGCCTATGAACCCCACCAGGAGCAGCATCACCACCATCACTACAGAACTAACCAGGCAACACAGAATCACTCCTCTCCTTCTCTTTTTCCTGGATGATAATGGCACGCCCGCCCCTACCTTCCCCCCGCTCCCCATCCCCCCTCCCCCCGTTCCCCCTCGCCCTGCGCCCCCCGCCCCAATACCACTCCCCCTGGGTGAAGCTCCCCACCCCCAGTTGCCCCCTCCGCCTGCCCCTCCCCCGGATTTACTCTCCCAGGAGGGGGATCTTCCCCCTGCCTTTGTCTCCCCCCCATCCCACGAGCCCCAGTTCCCCCAATCCCCGCTCCCCCCGCTTCCCCCCTTCACCCCAACTCCCCCTCTGTTGCCCCGCCACTCCCCATCCCCTGCCCCTACTCCCCCTCCCCTTCCCCCGTCACTGGGTCTATTTAGGGAATCAACCCCCAGTCCCCTGCCCCTCCTTCCCCTTACGTCTTCTGCCAGTCTCGCTCCAGAAGAAGACATGGAAAGCCCACCAGCGGCAGAAGAAGACAAGGCCTGCCCACCAGCAGCGGTGGCAGCTACAGGGGATAAGGATTCCCAATCTGAATTATCCCAGCCTCCGCTGCTGCTACTATCGTCACTATCAACATCAGCACCAGCAGCATCAGCAGCAGAAGCAGCAGCAGCAACACCAGCAGCAATACCACTGGCAACACCACTGCTGCTGGAAACACCACTCTTACTGGTAACACCAGTGCTACTGCTGGTAACACCTTTCGAGGGTTTCACTGAGACTGCAGCTGCTAGCCCTAGTCCCTCCCACCCACCCGTGCTGCCCTTATCCCACTCATCTGTCTCCACCTCTGCCCCCCACCCTTCGTCCTCCTCCCCTTTATCACTCCCCCCCCACCCACCGCCCCCTTTATAACCACTCCCCCTACTAGCACCCAGGCCTGCACCAGAGGTTTGACCACCGGAGCTGGAAGGTCGACCGGTGGAGCTGGAGGGGCGGTCAGAAGACACTCCCAAGCCTAGGATGGCTCGGCCAGTTCCCGAACCTGATCGCTTCGGAACTCCAAATTCCGGACTTGCTCCTGTACCTCCGCCAACAAAACCACCTCCATGTGTCTGCTGCTGGTATTGCTGCTGCTGCTGCCGCTTGGGAGGGGTTTTAAACTTCCTCTCAATAAACCCAGACAGCACGCCACTAGGCTGAGTCAGGTACTGCTTTTCGGGATCATATCTCTCTCTCTCCGGCCCGCTTTCCCTCCCTCCTGGCGGACGGCGCGGGGGGGACGCGGCTGTAGCAGCGCGGGCGAGTTGAGCCGCTACAGCCGCGATTCCAGCAATTCCCGAGGGAAGCTTCCCGCTTGACAACCCGGCAGCGCCAAGAATGTCATCAGCGTCTTCCTTAGTGAACCAAGCAGAGGAGGCGGAGGAGGAGGAAGAGGCGCCTGGCTTATGCTGCTGCTCATGCTGCTGATGGTTCTGAGAGCCAGAAGACGCGTAGGAGGATAGCTCGTCCGTGTCTTGTGGGAGCATGTGGGTGGGGACTGAGGGAGGTGCGGCTCTGCTGGAGGCGTGGAGGACGAGAGGCTTGGGTGAAGCGGGGCCATGCTTCGGAGAGGAGGCTCGGGGAGAGACAGGTTGGGGGGATCTGTGAAGGGGAAGGGTTGCCGAAGCAGGGAGTGTGGTTTGGTGGGTGCAGTAGAGGACAGGTGAATGCACCAAAACTCGGGATTAATAACCGCGATCGAAATCTTTGCGGCATCAGCACGGATTCCTACGAAACGATCACTAGTACAGCCAACGGGGTTGCAAAGTTACGATTTTGTATTCTATTCACAATCTGACCCATACTGTTAATGAAATGACAAAAAGCTTTGACTCCAGTGCAAAAACGCCACATTACTTCAAATGGATAATGCGACCATACATGCATAGCGTAAATTACTCCGAAGAATAGTGAAACAAAATCCTTTACCTAACGCATGGCAAGAATTCTGCAAACTTAACTGACAAATAATTCCTTACCTTGAACCTGATACGACAGGACGAGTCTGCACGAGTTTCTTCTTCTTAGCGACAGCCGATCCCGTGCGATGAACCGGCGCGTCGGAGCTCGGTGCAGAGCGGTTCGCAGTGGTGTCGGATCCCGTGCAATGCACCGACCCTCCGAATTGTCGCCTATCCATATCGTCGCGTACGACGCACTTGATCTGGCTCTCCTGCTAATCTCGCATTTAGCTTCGGCAATCTATCCTGAAGCTCTGGGAAACGATTCACCCGTAAAAGGTAGTTTTTTCAAGCCGTTCAACGCAGCACTCGCCTCGCATTCCCGACCGAACCATGCGTGCTCTAAGCTTCACGGGCGCATAAAAAACATTCCCAGCTGAAGGTTTCGGTCTCGCAAGTCCCTACAGCCTGCTGGCAAAGGTGTTCAAAGTGCTTGTATTGCGCGACTGCATCAAAGAAAATAATGGACATGTCATTTGTTGCATCACGCTGAAAATGGTCAACGAAAATGGGATGGGATGGGACGCCAATGCCCAACTGAAATGGAGGAGGTTGGTGGTGGCGAGGCGTGGCAGAGTTGTGGGGCAAGATCGAGGCAGGTGGAGGAGGTACGGCAATCCCAAACATACGACCAAACCCAAGCCAAGAAATGGAGACACCGAGGCCGTGTCCTCGTCGTGGAGAAAATGATGTTTTCACACGCTATTTTACTAATCATATTTGCAAATCATGAACCCTGGTCTCAATGAAAAACAATGCAAGATTCAATGAAGAAAAAATACAAGTGCTTGGCTAAATATCAAAGCTACATTGAACCGTATTCCAACTTACTGATGAAATAAATTATTAGTGCAAACATTCAGAAGGCCAATAATTATAATTGCCACAAGAAGGTGGTAACAAGTTTTAGGATAATCAATCCCCCACCTCACTGCATCGCACTCAAAAGCTATTGCATCCTTTGAAACGGATTTCAAACCGGTAAGCGAACGATCGGGGGCGGTTCATCCTCCTATGTTCCTCCTGCACCAGGCACCACCAACCAACCATCAACCACCTCCACCGATTTTACCGCTGCTGGATCTTGCCAAAATGAGGGCCAAGGCAGCCTCGAGATTAGGGCGCGTGTGGTCTTACAAATTTGTGAAAGTTTATGTTTTTAGGTCGAATGTAGCATTTGAACAAAACTCGACTTTCTTTCCAGCGAAGTTCGAATCTTGGGTCTCCAACACAGACGAGTCACAATCACACACCCAAGGTCGAACACAGAGATTCGACCTTTTAGGGATAGCGGCGAGCCGCCCGTAGGGGAGTAGGTTACCTGGTACAGCGCGACACGTTAACGTAATGCGCAACGAAACTCAACGACCTTCGCAAAGCGGTCGCGATTTTCGGATAGCCTTCGTACGTGCTGAAAACAACACACACTCGCCTCACGTGCACCCGCACGTTCACTCGTGTGATTCGAGTTGAGTTCACATTTGACATTCGAACTTATGTGCCCCAAAATTCTCATGCCTTCGCCAAAGCTTCTTGACGACATTAGCGAAGCTGGTAACCACAAAAAGTTCGACCTTTTTCCCGAACTTGAAAATAGATCACACGCGCCCTTACACCAAGCAACATTTCACCAGGCAGCAAGAGCAGCCAATCTTTGACAGGAATCGAAGTCTTGTGTGTTCACATTTCTCAGGCATCAGGGAGATTCTGGTTATCAGGGAGAGCCGGGAGCACAATGCTGACCAAAGAGTGGCGCATCCATGAAAACATTCGCGTTACGTAGCAACATTTCTCCTGACATCTATTGTTTGATCCACACTTTTGTAGAATCTCGGAACATTTTGACGTCGCAGAGGTACATTCTTGTCGACATTGATCAGCATTAGGTGATGTCATTTTGATTTCTCGGCAACTGGGAACACCATGGCGGAATCGACAGGCCGTAACAAGTGGGACGGAACGGGTCCCACTCGCTCTACCACCTCCGTCTCCGATTTAATGCTTGGCGAAGTCGACCTTTCTGGTAACTCCGCCCTCCAGCGTTTCGCGGCTCTCGCGGCGGAAGAAGCGGACAGAGCGCGAGGCACGCCGCATTCCTCCATCGCCGCTGCCGCCGCCGCCGCTGCCGCCGTCACGATAATTTCGGACGTTAGATCGTTCCCGGTAATCCCGGAGGAGCCGTCGAGTTCGAGAACTCAGTCGCAGCAGCACGAAGAGCACGGGTTAGGGAAATCGCAGACGCGCAATGAGGGAGCAGGAGCATCAGGAGGATCATACCAGGAGCAAAAAGCTTTAGGTTTTGGTCCGTCAGGTCCTATTCCTCCTGCTGTTCCTCCTGTTCCTGGTTCTGCTGCTGCTGCTGCTGCTGCTGCTGCGTCCTCTGCGTCAGTTCATCCGTTACACGGCGTCGTGACTGTTCCGGACATTCCGCTTCTTTTGCTGCGGCTGATCGATGCAGCGGCTCACGAGGGCCACCCGAAGGCGCTAACGAAACTTCGCCGAATTGCAGCTGGGTTGGATACTTTGGAGAGCTTTACAAAAGGGAGGCGCGGGGAGGGGAAGGCGGGGGACGCCGAAGAGAAGACAGAAGGGGAAGAGGCCAAAGGGGTGGATACCCAAGGGGATGAAACCAAAGGCGAAGGTGTCTCTGGGGAGAAGGAGGAAGATGCAGAAGAGAAGAATGATGCTCCGGGCCACGGTGACGAATCTGGAAAAGGCGAGGAAGCGAAGGAGAACGACGCAAGCGAACCAGGAGGCAACGGGGAAGCCGCGGTGACACAGACCGGGGAGGAGTTAGGAACGCTAGGGTCGTTAGGGAAGGAGGAAACCTCGAGGTTGATTGTTGAGACTCTATTGGCGATCATGGGGGGTAGGCACGAGGAGGAGGAGATGGGCCAGGCTGGGTCAGGCAAAGGGGAGGGCGGAGAAGGAATGGGAAGCAGAAGCAGCGGCAAGAGAAGCAGCAGCATGGGTGGCAGTATGGGCAGCAGTGGTGGGCAGGGGTGGATGAAGGGAGGAGGGCCTGTGATCATGCTCACTCCTGAAGCTGCCAGGCTCGGCGCGTGGCTGCTGCCATGGCTGCCGTGCCACGAGCCTGCTGCTCACACTCCAGACGCTGAAACCGAACCTGCAGCTGAGAAGGCTGAGAATGCAGAGACAGTTGATAATTCTGAGACTGCTGAGAATGCTGAGAATGCAGAGACAGTTGATAATTCTGTGACTGCTGAGAATGCTGAGAATGCAGAGACAGCTGACAAGCCTGAAACTGCTGAGAACGCGCAATCTCAGGCGATCCAGTCAGCTTCAGATGGCGACGATCCTGCCACGTCAGCTGCTGCTGAGTCATCACCCTCTGTCGACTCCCCCGCTGCCGACCCCTCATCGACTGACTCCCCAGATCCAGCTGCAGTCCCTTCCGTTATAATCACAAGCAGCACTGCCAAAGCTGCCACTCAGCCCGCCCCAGAGCCACCAGCTAGAGCGAAACCCGGTGCTGGTCAGTTGCAAGTGTCTCCTCGCACGCGCATGGCACGGGGCATAGCCCGCGTGCTGCTCTCCTGCACGCGCAACCGCGCCCTGTGCGCCTCAATGGGGCTCGTGAGGGCGCTGCTGGCCGCTCTGAGGGTGATTCTCCTGGGAGGGGTGGACTCGCAGGGACTGCCGCCTGCTGCTGCTACTGCTGACGCGCTGTTGCTGCCAGGGAGGAGTGGCATCAGCTCGAAGAATAACGACCGTTCTAGCAGCACGAGCGCAGGTGCAGATGAGACAGGGTGTGAGGGTGAATCAACTCCAGTGACGCCATTGTTTGGAGTGGCAGATGAAGCAGCGTGGGACTGCTCCCCTCTGGTGACGGCGCTGGAGTGTCTAGCAGCGCACTCTCTCAACGTTGCTGAGCTGCAGGACTGGGTCCGATCCACCGAGGCTCTTATCCTCCCTGCTGCTGCCCCACCTGCTGCTGCTAATGCTGCTGTTTCTGCTGCTACGGCTGCTGATTCAGCTGCTGCTGACGCTCAAGATGGTCCCAGCAGCAGAAGTGGCCTAGCTGGTAGCAGTCGTGCTGCTCTCTTGTTGACAGCATTGGAGCGTGCCATGGCTGGGGAGGAGGCTCGGGGGCCGTCCCATTCCTTCGAGCTGGACGGCCGAACCTCCGGGCTGCTAGGTCCGGGCGACAGCAAGTGGCCCTTTAGTAACGGTTACGCCGTCGCCACGTGGCTGTACGTCGAATCGTTTGTCGACACGTCAGCATCGGCGATCACCGCAGCAGCCAAAGCAGCAGCCATTGCAGCAGCAATCACGGCAAAGGGAGGAGGGAAAGGGTCCGCTCAGGTGACTGCTGCTCAGATCGCTGCTGCTGTAGCAGCCGCTAACTCCAATATCCTCCATTTGCCACGCCTCTACAGCTTCTTAACCATCGAGAACCACGGAATAGAGGCCTATTTCCACAAAGACACCCTCGTTGTGGAGTCTAATTGCCCTTGGACCGGCATCCGAAACGCGGTTCGTTTCCGGCACACATTCCTCCCGCGCCGCTGGTATTTCCTAGCCCTGGAACATATCTTCAAACCGTCTCTCATGGGTAAAGCAGAAAGTGAAATCAGGCTGTATGTGAACGGACGGTTGATTGAGTCCTGGCCTCTTGACCTTCCCAGAATCTCCAATCCGTTAGGGTTTCTCTGCATAGGCACCAACCCCCCTTCCGGACTGCTCTTGAACTCCTCTCAGAAACAGACAGGACCCGCCGCCCATCATCACCAGCAGCAGCGGCAGCAGCGGCTACAGTGCCCCCTGTTCGCCGAGCTCGGCCCGGTCTACATCTTCAAGGAGCCAATCGGAAGCGAGAGAATCGCCAGGCTGGCAGTGCGTGGGGGGGACCACCTGCCTGTGTTTGGGGCGGGTGCGGGGGCGCCAGCTCACATGGGGAGTGAGCTGATGATGAGGAAAGCTGAGGAGTCATGCAGTCTAGATGTGGACCTCGCACCCAGTATCCACCTCCTGTACCACCCCAAGATGCTTCTGGGAAGGTTCTGCCCGGACGCCTCGCCTGCCACTGCATCTGGTGTGTATTGTATCCCAACCCTACCATGCCCACATTTCAAGTTCCATGGTTCATCAAATCCCAAACCCTGAACCTCTTCCCATCTCAGTCAGTCTCTCTCTGGTGCCTTTCAAACAGCTTTTG